GCAGCTTGTCCATCTTAACTGGTTTTAGGACCATGACTTTCTGCCCGAGACAGAAGCTTCTTCGCCGTGCCCCCCGGTCGTACCAGACTTTCTGTCGCCCCTGGGCCGCCTGGAGGTTGGCCTGAACTGACTTAGCCAATTGCTCCATTCGGTCCCGGAGCTCTAGTACGTAAGGCACGATGGGGACCCCAGCGTTCTCTGTCTCTCCCTCCCAGTGCTCACGGATCAAGTTCAGGGGACCCCGTACCTTGCGACCGTATAACAGCTCAAAGGGAGAGAACCCGGTGGTTTCCTGGGGCACTTCCCGGTAAGCGAACAGGAGGTGCGGCAGGAAACGTTCCCAGTCCCTATACTCCTGAGTAAAGGTTTTTAACATCTGCTTGAGGGTTCCGTTGAACCGCTCACATAACCCATTGGTCTGGGGGTGGTATGGAGAGCTAAGCAGGGATTTAATTTTGCAAACGTGCCAGAGCTGCTGGGTCAGCTCTGCCGTGAACTGTGAGCCTCTGTCGGATAAAATCTCCCTAGGGAATCCTACCCGAGAGAATACCTGCACTAAGGCATTAGCCACTGTGTCTGCCTGGATATTGGATAAAGCCACAGCTTCTGGGTAGCGGGTAGCGTAATCCACTATGGTAAGAATGTATCTCTTGCCAGAGGGACTAGGGGTGGCCAGGGGCCCAACTAAGTCGATGGCTACCCGGCTAAATGGCTCGTCGATAATGGGCATGTTCACGAGATGTGCCTTAGGGTGGTCTCCTCGTTTGCCTACCCGTTGGCACACCTCACATGTATTACAATAGGACCTTACATCGGCATGTACTCCTGGCCAGAATAAGGTATGGGTAATACGGTGTAGGGTACGTGTTACTGCCAAGTGCCCGGCTAAGGGAATATCATGACCCACCCGGAGGATATCCCGCCTATACTTGTGGGGTATCACTAACTGTCTCCTTCGGTGCCCTTTTTTCTCTGTGTGTCGGTGCAGTCAACCCTGTTCCCATGCAAAAGTCTCCTGGTCTGTTCCCCCAGCCCCGGTGTCGGCTCGTTCCCTATATTTTTGGAGCGTCGGATCAGTTTTGGTCTCAGCCTTCGAAGGCTGCAGGGGTGTCCCAGGGCAACGGGGTAGGAGGGGGGGTCACAGTCGGGTTAAGTCTTACCTGCGTCTCCCGCACTGGTGAAGGGTCTCGGGCTCGTCCAGCTTGTGACCGGGTCGTCACAGGATGTGCCTCAGCATTGTAGGACGGGGCATAAGCTGAAGTCATAGGTCCCAGGTCGTTTCCCAGCAAAACCTCGGCTGGCAAATTATCCATAATTCCCACCCTCACAAGTCCTTTTCCCGCACCCCAATCCAAGTGTACCTTTGCCGTGGGTAGTTTGTATATGTCCCCTCCAGCCACCCGGACAGCCACTGTGTCAGGCGAGCGTTTGTAGTCGGGGACTAATCGGCTTTGTACCAAGGTGATCGTGGCCCCGGTATCTCTTAACCCCTGTGTGGGACGCCCCTCCAGTAGTACCTCTTGCCGGTGGTGTTGTCTATTGTCGCTGGCGGCATACACAGGATTCGCTTCATGTAGGGGTCCCAGGTATTCTTCTAGAGGACTGTCTTGTTCTAGGCAAAATGCTCGAGCTGGACGATTGTTTCCCGTTGGAGAAGAATTATAGTTCCGTGCGGGGTAATTGTTGTTAAGGGGGCAACTCGCTATCAGGTGCCCCGGCTGCTTGCACTTATAACATGTGGGTCGGGAGCGTTCTTGAGGGTAGTGGCTGGGTGGTCCCGTGTACCGTGTAGGACCTGCGGGTACAGGGTTGCGAAACTCCGTTCGTGGAGTTGATCGGTATCCCTCTCTTGCTTCGGGGCGAGTTACCGTTCGGGCATTGTTGAACTCCTGTACTTGCGCATCCCGGTGTTCGTCTGCCAACCGGGCTGCTTCGTGTAGGTTAGCGGGACGCCGGTCTTTCAACCACTCCCGGTCTTTTTGTTCCAGACCCTCATAAAAATGCTCTAATAAGAAAAGTTCCAATATTTCCGCGGCCGTGACGGCCCGACACCCGGTAATCCAATGGGTTGCAGCTCTCCGCATACGATGTGCCCATTCGGCATGGGTATCATTCGCTTTTTTCTTCGTGCTGCGGAACTGCCTTCGGTAGGTGTCTGGGGTCACAGCGTACCGTTTCAGCAGCGTCTCTTTGACTGTGGTGTATTGGGCTACCTCTTCGGCGCTGAGGTTCTGAAGGCTTCCATGGCCCGCCCGGTTAATTTTCCTGCCAGGATCCGCGGCCACGCTGCGACGGGGATCTGATGCAGGGCACATTGTCTTTCAAAATCGGCCAAGAATTCGTCTATCCCCATCTCATTCTCCGCGAACGGTTTGAATGCCGCGAACGGGATCTTTGGCTGTTCGGTAGTTTCCAGGGGGCCGTTGTGGCTATCAGCGGTCTTCATGCTCAGCTCGTGGGCTCTAGTCCGCTGTACGTCCGCCTCGGCTTCGGCCATTAGTTGCTGTATCAGCTCCACGGATGGGTTTGGTCCGTACAGAGGCAGCCTTTCTCGGACGATCCTGGTCTTCTCATCGCTGCATGTTGCCGTTGGTTCTGCCATTGTGAAGCTTTGATCCAACTCGTTAAGGTCGGCAATCAATTCTCTCCTCGGCCGATTACTTGCGTTCCCTCCCCGGCTCTCGAGTAAATCCTTTAACGTGGTACGCTTTAGTTTGTCGTAGTTACTCTCCATCCGTCCTAGATATCTCTCTTTAGGAATTCCAGGATGATCCCGCCGCTGCCACCAATTGTTACGATTGCCCCCGGTCTAGCAGGGGGGTTGATCGCTTGGATGTCCTGGTTCCCGCTGCAGAGAGTCGAACGGAGGTCTTTCGGTAGTCGGCTGTAAGTGTAGAATATCCCCAAGCACGACATAAGCATCAATATCCCGGATCCCTACAACATGAGTCGAGGCTGCAAGTTGAGGGTCAAAACGAACTGGCTTTACTGGCACATAGCATGGCAATTTATGTGATTCCTCAGGTCCAAGGACAGCCCCCTGTGGACCTGATGGAATACAGGTACAGTGCAAACAGGTAACCAATCACAGTACACTGTATTATTTGAATTAGTACCCGCCTAGCTTGGAGATAATGAGGCCAACGGTTTTACAATCTAATTATCTAATTATTCAAGCGCACAAAAGACCACGTTTTATTATGTCCCAGAAAACTACCTAAAACTCCATAACTTGTACATTATTACAGGAAAACCATTCATTCCACCATTCATTTGAAGGCTCGCGTTCGTATAAATAAACCAGGCGAATGCCGCTCTAATCCCACGAACAGACTGTACTGTTTCTGCCGTATAAAGTCCGTTCGGCATTTCGAGATGGTTAGTCTTTGTTGGCGGCCATGTTTTCTGCTGGTTTAGCGAGCAGCGGGACTTCGTGCCTAACTCGTGGAACTAAACTTGGTATCAGTTCCTGCGAAGTCCCGCTGTCGGGCTGGTAGTGGGCTCGTTCGGTAAGGGAATGCGGACCACCTGGGAGCAGGGTACTTGACCTGCGGTTAACCGCAGGAACCACAGTTAATGCGCGCCACGCGACCCACTGTAGGGGGTCGTCGTTCGGTGGATCGTTCGGTATTTTCCCTTCGGCACTTTGGGTGCGAACGTCGATGCCCCCGGGCCTACCAATTACATTGTGGTTAACCGCAAACCGCAGCCATCTGGGTGGTTAATGGCTACCACACTCCGCGAGCCGGGGGGCCGCCCGTTCGGTAGTTTGCGGAGTGACGGGGTTAAGTGGCGGTACACGCCAGTTCCTGGGGGGTCCCCCGTTCGTACCACGAATGGAGCCTCCCTAAGAGTTCGTGTAATCCATTCGTGTGGTTTTCTGTTTAACTTAGGTAGTGGCAAACAGTATCAATCAGTGAGTAAAAACAGCAACATGGTGATTTCCAGTCTTTTGTAACAATGGTGATTTCCAGTCTTTTGTAACAGGTGGGAATGATGGGGAGGTGAGTGTGACAGACTGAGGGTGGAATGGTTGTGGAGGCAAGTATCACAGGCTTGGCATGTGGCATGGTTGAAAGAGAGACTGTGACAGGCTGATGTGAGGTAATTGTGACAGGATTGGAGGAGGTTAATGTGACAGGGTGAGTGTGGCATCGTGACAAGACCAATCTCACCACTGTGCATTGGAGGAGCCTGGTTGCCCGCCTGCTGCCTTTAGACTATGGCCCCATGTTGAAACGCTTGATTTTCCCCTGCAAAGACACGAAAGCCAGGTCATTAGGTGCTTGCCCTGTTTGAGCGGTGATACCCCAGATAGCTATGCCATGGAGCCCATTCGTATAATGAAAGCCTATGGAAAAGACTTTGGCTCCATGGCAATTGAACTGTATGTGTGTGATCTGAGCGCCATTCAGTAATAATGTGCGCTCAGATCTGAGCTATCTGGGGATATGTACCTGTTTTATGCAATGGCTGCACAGTTATATATTTTTATGTGTTTTATTGTCTTTAGCTGCCATGTGTTCAATTGAGTTTTGCCTCTGTCCTTGGAGATAATTGGATTACTTCCCAATTATCTCCTGGATAGAAGACTCTGTGGAACTGGTTTTGGGCAGAAAAGCCATGCTTCATTTGGTCACAAAGGACTTTGATCTATCTTTTGAACCAATGGGCCAATTGATTTTGACATATGTTTGTATTTGGAGTATGCTGATTCTGAAAATGTAAGTTTTATGTGAATGTGATGCATACTTTTAAAATTATGAATAATGTGAAAAAATGTATTTCTCTGCCTGTGATAATTACATTACCCATTGTGTAAGGTAATTGCATCACAGGCAGAGGGGAGGATTTTGTGTGGGTGTGTCTGAGTGTATTGTACGTGTTTATTGGTTGCTTTACAAAACCCTGTGGGTGGTACTAATGTGTAAGAATGTGTATATAAGAACAATAAACCCACAGCTCTGTCTGTTCCTGCTTGACTCTCAAAACAGACCCTTGTCTCGTTCTTGGGGGGATTTATTGTATGCTGTTCCAGTTCAACTGCTAGGAGTGTAAACCTATTCGTATGGTTTTTCCTAGTCAGCTGTTTACGGCATTCATATGGTTTCCTGTTCCGTGGATTGGTGTCTTTGGTAGCTGCCTGTATATCTGGAAGGGGAATATCTCCTAAATGGCTTTTAACCCCTTTTATGCCTGGGGTGCCATTACAGGCATAGTTGAGGGGGAGTGTATCATAGGGTTGGGGTTAGTATGCCATGGTTGTGACAAGATTAGTGGGGGTGAATGTGAAAGGGTGAGTATGGCAGACTGTGACAGGGTTAGAGGCCTTAATGTGACAGTGTACATGTGGCAGGGTTTGGGGTAAGTGTGGCACAGTTGGAGGGGTTTATGTGATAGAATGAATGTACAGGGTTGGGGGGGTGAGTGTGACAGTGCAAGAAAAGGTGAGTATTACAGGATTAGTGGGTTAATGTATTAGGGAGAGTGACTAAGCAAGGGCGAGTGAGTTTGGTATGGTTGGAGGGAGTTAGAGTGAGAAGTTTAGGAGGGCTTAATATGAGTGTGGCTGGGTGAAGAGGGGGACCGTTTGTGTGGGTTGATAGTTTTTGGGGAATGGTGATAGTGTATGTGTAGGGGGTGACAGTGTGTGTGTGGGGGGTTGACAGTGTGTTTATATGGGAGTGGCAGAGTGTGTGTGTGAAGGGGTTACAGTATGTGTAGGGATGATAGGGTGTGTGGGGTGACAGGTTGTGTGGGGGGCATTGTGACGGGGGGTGTGTGGCTCACATTGTGTATGGAGGGGGTGACAGTGTGTGTGGGGATGGTACGGTGTGTGTTGGGTTGACATGGTGTATGTGAGGTGACATGGTGAGGAGCTATGACAGGGTGTGTAAGGGCTGTGACAGGGAGAGGAGCTGTTTCAGGGTATGTGTGGAGGCCTGTGACAGAGTGTGTGTGGAGGGCTGTGATAGGGTGGAGTGGCTGTGACAGGATGGAGGACTAGGACAGGGTGTGCAGGGCTGTGTGTGGGGGGGCTTTGACAGGATGTGTGTGGAGTGGGGAGACTGAGTGTGTATGTGTGTGTGGGGGGAGGTGTTGGGGGTCTGTGACAGAGTGAAGGGGTGTAAATGTTTTTCTTAGATGATTCCTTGGTGGTCTAGTGGTATCTCTCCCTGGTGGTCCAGTGGGCAGATTCTCTGGTCTGCATCTCCGCCAGGTGCAGAGCTGTAGACCATGTGGCAATTGTCTTGCGATCTCTAGAAGTGTCAGATCATTCTCTGATTGGCTGGAGATCCCGAGACACCTCAATTTGCAGCTCTATACGCGGCAGAGCTGCAGACTGACTAGAGGCGCAGGGCTCTCTGTCCTGCAGACTAAGTGGAGTGGCCTCGCACACGTCAGGATAATGGACCCAGGCTAAGGACCCAGCAGATCAGTCTACCCTAAGGTGATTTAGACGCCCATGAGGCCACAGTCAACGCGAAGCCTTAGGCGGCCACCTAAATCTCCTAATTAGAGAGTAGCCTCTGCATGGTTACATGAAAAGTGTCAAATTATCCCTTAATACATTGAGTTGTCTATTTTCAAATATATACTGTGGCATGATGGCCAGGCTCTTAATAAACTTCAGGCAATAAACTTCAAATGCAAGCATCAGGATAAAATAGTATTGCAGTTTATTCGCACTTTCCACAGGTCATACAATGCTGTGCTTCACAGAAATAAATAAAACAAAAAGAAAATAAATCCTACTCCAACTTGGAGACTTACTAAACAATAGTATTCTTAACTATCCAACCGGTCAGCTAATCCAGTTCCCAGTAGGCATGTGCATGGGAAGATTTTTCGGTTCGGTTCGATATTCCGAAATTCAGGACTTCGGCAATTCGGCACTTCGACACTTCAGAACTTTGGAACTTCGACACTTCAGAACTTCGGCAACTTCAGCACTTCGGAACTTTGACACTTCGGAACGTCGGCACTTCCACACTTTAGCACTTTGGAACTTCGGCACTGCGACACTTCGGCAGCTTCAGCACTTCGGCACTTCGGAACTTTGACACTTCGGAACTTCAGAACGTCGGCACTTCCACACTTCAGCACTTTGGAACTTCGGCAACTTTGGCACTTCGCCCTCCTGAGCCCCCACCCGCGACGTGCGAGTGGGTGGGGGCCCTAACATAAAAAAATGGGGGGGGAACTAATGCCCTCCCCTTGGCCCCCACCCCTGAGCGGTGGGTGGGGGCCCTAAATACTAATTAGGGGGGACCTAATGTCCTCCCCCTGGCCCCAACCCATGAGCGGTGGGTGGGGGCCCTAAATACATATTAGGGGAGGGACATAATGTCCTCCCCCTGGCCCCCACCCCTGAGTAGTCAGTGGGGGCCCTAAATTAGAATGAGGGGGGACCTAATGTTCTCCCCCCTGGCACCCACCCCTGAGCCCTAATTACTAATTAGGGGGGGACCTAATGTGCTCCCCCCTGGCCCCCACCACTGAGCGGCGGGTGGGTGCCCTAAATAAAAAATTAACACCCCAGGTGACTAGGGGTCCCCAAACCCCTAGTCACCCCCTCCCCCAAAAAATTAATCCCCTACCTACCCCCCTCACCCTAAAAATAATGAGGGGGGACTATTTAACTAAGTACCTGTAAAAAAATAAAATAAAATAAAACTTACCATTTGATGTTTTCTTTCTTCTAAAATCTTCTTTTTTCAGCCCCAAAAAAGGCCAAATAAAAATCCATAATAACCAACGCACTTTAAAAGTTTTCCCACGCTGTGTAATTTGACTCATAACTCTCTGATTGGTGGATTAAGTAACCAATCAGAGTGTTATGAGTCAAATTACACAGCGTGGCAAAATTCCAAAGAACTTTCCCACGCTGTGTAAAATGACACAGAGTACTCTGATTGGTGGATTTCAAGCCAATCAATCAGAGTGCTCTGACAGGTAAATGTAGAGACTTACCTGTCAGTCTCTTCATTTACCTGTCAGAGCACTCTGATTGGGTGGCTTAAACCCACCAATCAGAGTGCTCTGAGCCTAATTGCAGGGCGGGGGAAGGCTTATAAAGCTCGGAGCCCTCCATGGGTGAAGATGGATTATTAATTTTTTTTGCACTCGTTTTTTTTTTTTTTACGTGCGTCGGTTATTATGGATTTTGATTTCGCCTTTTTTGGGGTTGAAAAAAGAAGATTTTAGAAGAAAGAAAACATCAAATGGTAAGTTTTATTTTATCTTTTTTAACAAGTACTTAGTTTATGCCCCCCCTCATTAGTTTTTTTTGTTTGTTTTTTTGTTTTTTACAGTGAGCAGCCACAGTGAGCAGCCACAATCTTTACTTAGTATTAGTAAATTTGACTGAAAGACCAATTCAAGGTATATTTTCCTTTAGACTCTTAGACTTAACTGCCTCCTTTCTCCCAGCTGTTAGACCCTCTGATGCCTTCAGAGGCTGACCTTTTAAAATACTACTTCACCTGAAAGGGCTAACTTCCCCCAAATAACCCTATCATTCTGGGAATAGAGAGTACTCCAATCACATCGAAAGCCTCTCTGACCCTGCCACATATCCTTCCCTCCCAGCTTAACACTGGTGTGTGATGTGGCCTATACCAAAAAGCCATGCACCCTAGATAATGCATTCACATGTCGTAAACCAGCCCTGTGCTTTACAAAGAATTTAAATGGTTGCAAAGAGAGGAACCAACAGGTGACCTTTGCAATCTTGTTTTTGTTGTTCTGCATCCACCGTAGTGGAGCATAGTCAGTGATAAGGGTGAAAGATCTGCCCAACAGATAATATTTCAATGTTTGTCACCTATTTAATGACCAAGCACTTCTTTTCTAATGTCCCATAGTTTTGCTCTCTTGGCAGTAATTTGTGGCTTAGAAATAGCACCGGGTGTTCTTCATCCACAACCATCTGAGATTGTACCACCCCCAGGCCTACATCGTAAGCATCGGTTTGCAAAAATAAATGCTTCTTATAAATTTGGGGCTAGGAAAACGGGGACTATTATTATTATTATTTATATAGCATCAGCTTATTCCGCAGTGCTTTACAATAAGAGGGGAATTTACCAAATGAGACACTAACAAAATGTAACAGGAATAATAGGTAGTTGAGAATCATTCCATTTCACTCTGTCTGGTGCCTTTGCTTTAATCCAATCAGTGAGATGGACAGCTTGGGTTGCAAAGTGGGGAATGAAGCATTTATAATAGCCAACTAGTCCTAAGAAAGCTTTGACCTGCTTCTTTCTTAGAAGGCGTTGCCAATTTTCAATTGCCTCAAACTTAGTCATTTGCGGCTTTACCAGTCCCCTCCCTACAGTATAGCCACGATATTTGGCTTTCATACAACCAATGAAACATTTGGAGGGATTATCAGTAAGACCAGCTTTCCTTATACTGTTTAATACTGCTTCTACCCTTTCCAAATGGTTGTCCCAGTCTTGGCAATAGATTACTACTTCATCTAAGTATGCTGAAGCATACCTGGAATGAGTTCTTAGCAGTTTGTTTATTAACCTCTGGAAAGGTTGCTGGGGCTCCATGAAGCCCAAAGGGACCTTTCAGGTATTTTCTGACTATGGGAGAAATTTATGTAATGCCCTCTGAATCACATTCTTTCCTGGGACTGTTTGTTCTTTCCATTCATCATTCGCTATATCTCATAGACCCCTTGGGTGTCTACTATAAAAGGAGTTCAAAGGGGGAAGACACTACAGAAGATTGGGGAACCTCCCAAATATCAAACAGTAAGTATGGTAAGAGAGTGTCCCGATTTTTCCCATCTCGACCTACAACCTTGCGCAACATGTGTTTTAGGGTTCTATTGCATCTTTATACTAAGCCATCAGTTTGAGGGTGGTATACAGATGTCCTCAAAGCTTTAATTTGCAATAATTGGCATAATTTCATTAGTCGGGACATAAAAGGGGTACCAGAGTCAGTTAAAATCTCTTTTAGTTACCCTACCCTAGAAAATACCTGAAGCAATTACTTTGCTATGGTTTTGGAAGCAGTATTGCGAAGTGGAATAGCTTCTGGATAGCGTGTAGCATAATCCAATACAACCAGAATGTACTGATTACCCTTAGCTGACTTTTCCAATGGTCCCACCAAATCCATAGCAATTCACTCAAAAGGGGTTTCAATAATTGGTAATGGGATTAGGGGTGCCCTTAAGTGAGGTTTTGG